CCCATCGCAAAGCGAATACATCGTTAAACGAAGCAATCACTAAGCGAGGCACCACTGTATCAGGGGAATGACTGAGTCATGCTTAGCCGCCGCCCCCTGAGTGGTTCTCCATACGTCCTTCTCCAGTGGAAGGGGACACTCTGGGGAGGTGGCTAAGACCTTTCACAGGATGTTCCCTGCTTCCCAAAGAGGTCCCAAATTCTCCATTTCCCAATCCCCAAAACTGGAAGTGATCAGAAACTCCCTTCCTGTTCCGAAAAACATGCCAAGCACATGATGGGAGCCTGGCAGACACCTCTTGCACACCTCCGCTGTGGTTGTAGCGACTCATCACGGTCCGGATCTGCCACTTCAGGAGGTGCTCGGTGTTTCTGGCATTTCGGTTGAGCCAGTCCAAATACTCGGTGTCCACCTGGATCATCTCCTCCATCCAGGGCTCCCGAGGCTCCCAGTTCTTCCCCTCATTGTCGTAGGAAGCAAAAAGTTGACCATCCAAGTGAGCCGTGAGAAGGAACTGGGGCCGCCCCAAGCCGGGCTCGGACATAACCACGAAGTGATAGTGGAGGGAGTGCGAAAAGGCTGAGGGAGAGGAACCTGGAGGGGAAAAACGGGGAAACATCAAGAGTCTATCAGGAGTGAAACTTCCAACAGAACCCTAATCTTTTGTCAACACAAGACTTACTCCCAATGGATCAGAGGCCGTGGGCTGCTTCAGTCCATCAAGGTGGCCATCAAAGAAAACCTGTGAGTCAAGTCACAGGACCGGATCTAAGACACGTGAACCAGCATGGATGGGTTCTAGCCCAGGATGGCCACCACTCTGGAAACCTTTTTACTTTTTAGGGAGGAAAGAAAACCTGTTCGTTCTCTTACAGAAGGCCCCACTGCTCATCGGAGGGAAGAGAGGATGTCGGGATAAATGATGAACCGAACAAATGAGGGATGGAGAGGAAGATGCCCCGTGGATGCTTACGGTTCGGATGGGCAGAGCCGGGCTTGATAAGGACCGAGGATCTGATTGAGGCGAAGGCAGTTTCCTCCATCTCTACTTTCTCTTTTGGATGGGGGGTATTATGAGGGACAGGCTAGAAACCACACCTGTCCCATCTCTACTTTCTCTTTTGGATAGGGCGGTTGTGAGGGACAGGCTAGAAACCACACCTGTCCATCACAAATGGAACCCTGATGTAGCAACCAATGGCTGAACAGAAGGGGCGGAACCAAGGAAATATAAGAAGAGAATGGAAGACAGTTAAAGATCAGTTGGGGATTTCAGTTGGGGATGAGAGAGACAGTTAGAGTTAGGATTTCAGTTAGACAGGAGTTAGGGGCTTCGGTTACTGATAAGATAGGACAGTTAGTCAGGAGTTAGAGAAGGAGTTAGGTAGTTGGAAGAATTTGTTTTGGAAAGAAATACTGGGAAAGAAATGTACAGTGGTGCCCTGCATAGCGACTTTAATCTGTTCCGGATAAATCGTCGCTATCTGGAAACGTTGCTACTGTATATGGGGCAAAAAAACCCCATAGGAACGCATTAAACCCTGTTTGAGGTACCTTCCTTTTAAACCTTGTGATTATACATCCCCCTTTTAAACCTTGTCTGTATATGGGGCAAAAAAACCCCATAGGAACGCATTAAACCCTGTTTGAGGTACCTTCCTTTTAAACCTTGTGATTATACATCCCCCTTTTAAACCTTGTGATTATAATCACAAGGCTTGTAACCTGCGATGGACTTTTCCGCCAGAAATCTTTTGTCCAATCCCCTTTTCAAGGCATCTAGGCCAAATTCCATCAGCACATCCTGTGGAAAGGAGTCCCACAGACTAACAACACACTGGGTCAAGAAATATTTTCTTTCTTTTGTTCTAACTCTCCTCACACTCCACTGGTTCTAGTATTGTGTGACAGGGAAAAGAGCTTCCCTCTGTCCACTTCATCCATCCCCTGCATAGTCTATGAGAACTGATCCCATCATGAAACACGCTAATCATAACAAAAGAATAGGCTTTGTTCTGACAAACTTAGTTTCACACAGACAGACAGACAGACAGACAGACAGACACACACACACACCACCACCACCACCACCACCACCACCGTTTCCTGTTTCTCGGTTGGCCGCTCCCTCTCCCC